GCCCACCTTTCATCACCCCCGACGCCCAGGGTCCGGACAGCAGAGCTCTCGCACCCAACAGGGACCGGGCCCCCTGAGGAACCATTTGGCCGGGCCCCGGAGAGGGCCGGGCCCCAGGGGGCAGCCCAGGAGCTCATGAGCTCCCTGTGCCGGGCCGGACACTCGGAGGAACCACCGCAGGCCTCGGGGTGGGCGGTGGGAGTCAGGACCCCACACGGACCTCTGTCCCCTCCTCTCCTGCTGCTCGGCCACATCTTGAAGTTCAAGGGGAGGACCCAGAGGGGTGAGGCCACGCTTGCTCCAGAATCCACAAGGAAGAGGCTCCTTGGTCCCCAAATCTGGAGCAAGGAGAGGACCTTGTGGCTGGGACCCGCGCGGCTGCGGCGCACCAGGCACAGGCCACCACCGCGGGGACAGCGGGCGGCCTGGCTGTGACTGCCAGCGTCGCCCAGGTGGTCGGCCAGCCTGGCGTCCGGGGCATAGCTCCAGCGGGGACGGCGGAGTCTGGTGTCTCCCCAGCGAGGACGGACAGTCTCCTGCCCGGGGGGGGGGGGGGGCGCCCGGCTCTAGGCCACCAGGCCTGTCACCAAACTCAGGCTGGGCCCCAGGGGCTGGGTCCCGCCCTGCCTCGCCCTCTGCCCACCGAGGAGGGATTCCATGAACAGCAGCCCCAGCAGCCAAGACGGGAGAGGCGGGGCTTGACTGTGCAGTGCGGGCAAGGCTGGGCTCCCGGGCCCCTCAGCAGCCATTCCTGCGTGAATGGACGGAGGGGCCTCCTTTTAGAAGACACCCCCCACAGCTCTTACGTGGTTTCTGAACAGACGCTTAGCGAGGACCTCCTGGGACCCCGGCCGGAGCCCCGCACACGCACCCCCCCGAGCAGGGCCGGTGCGAGCTCCCGTTTGCAGGTGAGGACGCTGAGGTTCACGGGGCAAAGGGCACGCCGGGTCCCAGGGCAGGAAGGGGCGGAGCCGTCCCCCTGGCGCACCTGGCACACCTGGCGCACCTGACTCATCTGGCATCTGACTCACCTGCGCACCTGGCGCACCGGCTCACCTGACAGTGCCCAGGAGCTGCGGGCGGCACGTGAGCAGCTCATTTTCAGCTGGCAGTTGACGACAGCACATGATGCTGTCACAACCCAGCTGCAGACACGCAGACACACAGACACCCAGACACGCAGACACGCAGACACGCAGACACGCAGATGCGCAGACACGCAGACGCGCAGACACACAGACACAGACATGCAGACACGCAGATGCGCAGACACGCAGACACACAGACACACAGACACGCAGACACGCAGACACACAGACACGCAGACACGCAGACACACAGACACGCAGACACGCAGACACACAGACACGCAGACACGCAGACACACAGACACGCAGACACGCAGACACACAGACACGCAGACACGCAGACACACAGACACGCAGACACGCAGACACACAGACACGCAGACACACAGACACACAGACACAGACATGCAGACACGCAGACACGCAGACACGCAGACACGCAGATGCGCAGACACGCAGACGCGCAGACACACAGACACAGACATGCAGACACGCAGACACATGGAAACACAGACATGCAGACACGCAGATGCGCAGACACGCAGACGCGCAGACACACAGACACAGACATGCAGACACGCAGATGCGCAGACACGCAGACGCGCAGACACACAGACACAGACATGCAGACACGCAGACACGCAGACACACAGACACACAGACACATGGAAACACAGACACAGACATGCAGATACGCAGATGCACAGACACGCAGACACACAGACATGCAGACATGCAGACACAGACACAGACACACACGCAGACACACGGGCACAGAGATACGCAGACACACAGACATGCAGACACGCAGACACAGACACAGACACACACACGGACACAGAGACACGCAGACACACAGACACACAGACACATGGAAACACAGACACAGACATGCAGACACGCAGATGCGCAGACACACAGACACAGACACGCAGACACACAGACACACAGACACAGACACGCAGACACAGACATGCAGACACGCAGATGCACAGACACACAGACACAGACACGCAGACACACAGACACACAGACACAGACACGCAGACACAGACATGCAGACACGCAGATGCACAGACACACAGACACAGACACGCAGACACACAGACACACAGACACAGACACGCAGACACAGACATGCAGACACGCAGATGCACAGACACACAGACACAGACACGCAGACACACAGACACACAGACACAGACACGCAGACACAGACATGCAGACACGCAGATGCACAGACACACAGACACAGACACGCAGACACACAGACACACAGACACAGACACGCAGACACAGACATGCAGACACGCAGATGCACAGACACACAGACACAGACACGCAGACACACAGACACACAGACACAGACACGCAGACACAGACATGCAGACACGCAGATGCACAGACACACAGACACAGACACGCAGACACTGTGCGCAGAGCAAAGGCCAGGCAGCAGTGACGACCGGGCCCGAGGAAGGGACTGGGGGCAGCACAGCCCCGACCCCCCCAGGCGCAGGCCTCGGCGGCCCCACATGAAGAGCGCAGGGCCGTGCGCCGGGTGAGCCGGACCGCGGGGCGGTGCTCAGACGTGGAGGACGCACACGCAGCAGCTGGCCCGGCCGTCCTGGGCCGGGCAGACAGACAGA